CTGACTTTTGAGATCCTATGTGCCCTTCAGAGCTCCTGGCCCTGGCCCCAGAAGGGACTCATGGGGACTTGGTTCCCTTCCCTCCTGGCTTGTTCTGCCAGGCCCGGATCACGAGGATGGTGTGGGCTGAGAATGACTTCATCCTGTTCATGTAGATGGGGAAACTGAGGCCTCTACTGAACTCTACCCTGCCCCCTTTATATGCAGAACGGCTGGGCACTGCAGCCCACACCCCTGCCAGATGAAACCATGACACACTTGCTGGAAGGAGGCCAGGTCAGCTTAACCCGCCTTACCACAGGGGGATTCCCTTAGGCTATGGGGTGTCTGGGAACAGAGGGATCCCCAGAGGCTGGGGTGCAGCTGGTATCTGGAATTTCTGAATGAGCCCCACCGGCTGCTCCCCCTACAGGGTCTCAGAGCCTCATGGACACTGTGGAGACTAGGAAACTGAAGCCTGAGGAAATGGAATGGTTGGCTCCTGGCCATCCAGGCAGGTAGATGCAAGGGGTGGATAAACTTGCAGGCACCTAAACACTGTCCTTAAGGGATTCCTTCCGGCATCGTTGGTTTCAGGTACCTACTGTGTGCATTAGAAAAGAACACACTACCAATAATAATAGTAGATTAAGCTGAGTGTGTGGCAGCCCAGGCCTGTTAGTCATGACCCAGGAGGCTGAGGCAGGAGGATTTTCCAGAATCTGGCCCTCCTTACCTGAGCTACCACAGCGAGACTGCCTCAGGAGGAGGAGGAAGGGGAAGCAGGTCCTAGGGCAAGTACCTAGTGTCTATTGTCCCAGAACTAGGAAGGGAGGCAGGGAGGAAATGAGTTCAAGGTTATCCTCAGCTACCCAGGGAATTTAAGGCCAGCTTGGGCTTCAAGACTCTGTCTCAAAAAAACATTAAAAATAAATAAGTAATCCAGGCATGGAGACAGAAGCCTTTATCTCAGCACCTGGGAGGCTGAAGAAGGTGGATTTCAGTGAGTTGGAGGCTTGTCTGGTCTACATAGAAAGTTCCAGACCAGCCTGGGCTACACAGTGAGACCCATCTCAAATAAACAAACAAGGAGCTGGAGAGTGGTTCAGGGTTCAAGATCTCATCTCACCCTTTAAGAGAACGTTTGGTTCCCAGCACCTAGTCAGGCTGCTCACAACAGTAACCTGGCTCAGCTCAAAGTGGGCTGAGGATTCTGCATCCTCAGGCACTACACTATAAGTAGAAATAAATCCTGTTTTGTCTTTTGAGACACGGTTTCTCTGTGTACCCCTGGTTGTCCTGGAACTGTAGCCCAGACTGGCCTTGAACTCAGAGCTGCCTGCTTCTGCCTCCTAAGTGCTGGGATGGAAGATATGGGCCACCACCTCCTGTCTATAAAATTAATTTTTAAATAAGTAGCAATAGATAAAGTTCCTAGTCCCCACCGAGTGCCTGACCTGAGCCAATAACCCCTCACAAGGCTTTCCGGAAGGGGGCGAGGCTGTTGTTACCTCGTTTCTTTTTAGAGACAAGAGGGCACAGAGAGGTTTAGTCGCCATCGGAGATCACACAGCCAGCCAGGGCTGAGATGGCAATCCACCCTGGTCCTGCTGATCGCTGCCTCTTGGGACTCCTGTGCTCCCTCAGATCCCGCCTCTTCCGGACTCTTCTGCTCTTGCTGTGGACCCTCCTGAGCTGTCATTTGGGGGGCACTGCTCAGGTAAGGGGTGAAGAAACCCAGGAAGCACATAGGAATATGGATGCGGGGGGTGGGGTGGGGGTCAGCTCTCCTCCGGGCTGACTCTTCTCTCTGCCCTCAAGTAGGGTCCGGGGGAATGGACGCCCTGGGGGTCTTGGAGCAGGTGTTCCCTCTCGTGC